TTATTGGACATTTGTTGTTATGTTGTTGTCTCTTGTTTGTACACTTCCCAGAGTGGCCTGGCAGCCAGATGGACAGTATAAAAATCGAATAAAATAAAATAAAACAAAACAATTTATTAATTAATTAATATTTTTAAAGGACATGGGTAAGTCCATCAACCAGGATGGAGACAACCTCACCACAAACAAGGGACTATAGTGCCACGTTGACAGAAGAATCCCATATCTAAGGGGCAGTGGGCTATCTAAGGTGAAAGTGAGCCCTTATACACACCATGCACAAAGAGCAAGCATGTTCTTTCATTCTTCTTTACCTCTGAACTAAAAATGTATTTCCCCCCTATTTAGGATATGATCTGTCATCACCTGGTGCTTCTCAAAGAGAAGAGAATAAAAATTCTAGCATACAAAGCAGAAACAGAAGGAAAAAGCCAACACTTACTTGTAAGTATCAAGACTATGAAAAAAGGAAGCAGCTCTTAAGCTAATACAGTGGTGCCTTACTTAGCGACGTTAATCCGTTCCAGGAAAAACGTCGCTAAGTGATTTCATCGCTAAGCGATTTTAAAAAGCCCATAGAAATGCATCAAAATGTGTTTAATGTGATCCTATGGGCTTAAAAACTGACCTTATGCGAAGATCCTCCATAGGGGCGGCCATTTTCGGTGCCTCTAAAGTGAGGCAAAACAGTGGTCGCCATTTTTTTTTTTACGACGGCCATTTTGGAACCGCCGATCAGCTGGCCGAAAACGGGGGCTTTGCGATGATCGCTTCCGCGCGATCATCACAAAGCGAATTTTCCCCATAGGGGCCATCGCAAAGCGATCGCTTTTGCGATCACAAAAAAAGAATCGCAAAGCGATTTCGCCATAAAACGGAGCGATCGCTATGCGAGGCACCACTGTGGGAATGTAATATAGAATACAGAATCCAGAACCATGAAGCAGACCCGCTTCACAAAACATTTATTATTTGGAATAGCTTCATATTATCAATTAAAAACAGTTAATGAAAGAAGATTAGATAACTGAATCCTTCCATATTAGGGGGTAGGCAAATTCCAGAGCTGCTGCAACTCCAAATATCTGCCTCTGGACCTTAGAGGACTTTCCCCTCCCCATTCCTCCATCCCAACTCTGAAGTATATTTCTCAGTTTTTTCAAGGCTTTCTTTTATCCTCACAGTAAAACATATTTCCAGAGTGTTTGAGACAAAATTCTAGGTCTTCAAAACATGGCAGAATTATTGGCACACACACACAGAAAGACAAACACACACTGGAGCCTTCTGAGACAAACAAATTATATTTCCAGTGGTAGGATGTGAGAAGGGCTTGGAGTAAAGGACCACTAAAGGCCATGTTTTGAGCCCCCTGAGGGCCCACGTCCCACCTAGAGATTTCACTTTGCCAACTCTGCAGTTTCAGAGTTGAAACAGACCAGATGGGTCACTAAATCCAACTCCACCAAAGCAAGAAATACCTAGTCGGTGGCCACCTGATTTCTTTATAAAGGCTTCTGGGAAAAGAGAGTCTATCTACAGTGGTGCCTTGACTTACGAATGCCCCTGTTTACGAACATTTTGACTTACAAACAGCTCCATTCGCAAAATTTTGCTTCGACTTGCGAACAGAGCTTCGACTTATGAATGGGGAAAAAAGCGCAGGGAAAGTGGGAAAGTTGAATTTTCAGTTGCGAAGAGTCTGCTTCTCTGTGCCTCGTTCGCCCCAGCAGTTAGAGAGTGTGGAGAGAGACCTAGGACTGCCTGGGACTGTAATTTTAAAATGTAAAATTTGGTTTAAAAGGTGCTTGGTTTGGTTTAAAAGGTTCTTGGGTTAAAAGGTGCTTGGTTTGATTTAAAACCTGCTTGACTTAAAAGGTGCTTAATTGGATTTAAAAGGTGCTTGGTTTGATTTAAAATCTGCTTGGTTTAAAAGGTGCTTGGTTTGAGGTGCTTGGGTCAAAAGGTGTTTTGTTCAAAAGGTGTTCATTCCCTCCCTCCCTCCTTTCCTGCCCTTTTTTAACCTAAGTCATTTTAGGTTAAAAAAATATATCCCCCGAGCGGTAGAGGACAGATTAACTGGATTTGCAATAGTTCCTATGGGAACTAATGCTTCGACTTACAAACGGCACCTCTACATACGAACAAAAAACAGCCGGAATGGATTAATTGGTTTTCAGAGCATTCCTATGGGAAATGCCGATTCGACTTACGAACATTTTGAGTTACGAACACCATTCCAGTATGGATTAAGTTGGTAAATTGAGGCATCACTGTACTTCCAAGGTATTTGTGAAAATGTCCAGATTCCTTTAAATCAATTTAGACAATTCAGGTGGGCAGCTTTACATCTCCTTGGGGATTTTATTTTTGCGGGGGGGGGGAGCACTATAAATCCCACTTGTCTTGGCCAGTATAATCAATACTGAGAGGTTAAGGGAGCAGCTGGAGAAGAACATCTGGAGGATCATAGGTCCAAACCCTGTTGTTACTTTTGGAGTCTGAGCGGGTGAATCCACTATTGACAGACCTTGCTATAAGCCTTACTCCCCCGCTTGCACTGTGTTTATGCTTCAGTTTTGGAAATTCCTACACATGAGAGGTGTCATTAATGCTAATAACTGCATTCTTTTAACTAAAAATTCATGTCATCCATCAATCTTATCTTTCTGTTTGTTTCCTGCTTTGTGGCTCACAATATGTCTAATAGCGGTAAGAAGGACAATTAAAAAACGTAGTAAAAGAAATAGGTCCTTGTTTGAGGCAAATGCTGGTGTCTCTTAAGTATGGATGGGCAAAGTGTGGCCCATGACCCACATGTAGCCCTCTTGGGCTCCCAGTGCAGCATTCTCAGCCCTCCCCCCCAATCTATATTGCGACTTCCCAAGGCACTTCAAAGTCCTGGAGAAGGCATTCCAGTAACATGGAAGCAGACAACTAGAATGGAATGCAGACTCAGATTGCTCTGCCTGTGGTCCTGGGCAGCAATCCTGCCTAAATGCTACTCTTTTCTTCCTCTTTCTCCTCCAGTGCTTTTAATTATGTGACACACACAAGAGCTTTTTCCTGTCATTGCTCTCCATGTCAGAGAAATGTTCCAGTGTCTAATTTCTTCATGTTTGGCACAGAACCCTGTGCTCCCTACATCAGCCCCTTGCACTATAGTGTGAATATTCTGCAAGACAACAACAAAGTCAACAGAACAAGAGGCATGAGATAAAGGCATAGCAGAACATGTCCATTCTCAGCCCCATAATTTCCACAACACACTTAAGAAAACCCTTATGTGGAAGGCACTCCCTTTTGAATTAGTCTATTCATACACTTGATATTTTATTATTTATTTATTTATTTATTTATTTATTTATTTATTTATTTATTTATTTCTCACCCATCTAGTCACTGGCTACTCATTGACTACTACTCAGTCACTATACCTCCCCACTCTCTTCACTTGTAACCTTTCCGAGTGAGTCAAAGTCTTCTTTAACCCTTCTTGTAGGAAATTTTATCTCTCCATCTGAAAGGAATAGGCTTACAGTGGAGTAAGGAGGGCCAAGGTGCCTCCCCGCAGACTGATGTGGGAAAGGCACTGAGCCCTCTCTTTTTTCTTGCTTTTTCCCTCTAGGATGTCCGAAGCATCTTGCAAACGTAAGTAGATTCACTTATTTCAATTACTAAATAATACTGAGAGGGTCCTTTGTGTATAGATAATGTAGGTCTCCAGCATCACAAAAGTATAAACAGGGGTATAACAATGAGCATCCCAGTTATCCCACCCTGGGAAAAGCTCCTCTCTGGCCTCTTCTAATTTGTTCAACTATAACTTTTTGAAACACTTAAGAGTGGAATGTAATGAGGTTGCTTGTAAATATCTCCAAACATGTATGTTTTAAATGTGTTTATCTGTTATTGGGAGGACCTTATAAGGATCACTAATTCTAAGGGTTGCCAGAAGTCAGATGTGGTTTGATAAAAGCTAACAATCACATTTTATGACTTCTTTGGGAATGTTATAAAACAACACGATTAATAAAATCTTCCCAGAAAGCCTGGAACAGGTTTAAGCATCATGCAGCCTGCAGATTACCTGGCAAAGTGTTATGCTGATTTCAGAGGCCCAGCTTTTTCTGTACAATGTGAAAACCTTTGGGAGCAGGCATTTGAGTTATCTTGTGTTAATGGCCATGTTTCCTTTCCTCTCCTCTCTATATTAAAATTACGTCCTTTCCAGGATCAAAGTAGGGAGGTGCGAGGAAACATTTGCTATAGACAGCAACACGAGCCCTCTTTCTCTTCTAATTTCTGGCAGCCTCTAGAAAAAGAAACTGTTTGAGGTGTTTCCATCGCAGAACAAAAGGCACACAAAGGCAGCAGAGATGAAGGAATGGACAGAGATGAAGGAATGGACAGAGAAGCATAAACCATCATGATGTCATATGTTGGGTCACCATATGAGAGTTGAAATCTGTTCCTACAGCAGGGTCTATGATAGATTGTCAATATCATCAGGAGGGAATGATTCTCAGTAATTAAAATCTTCCACCTTCTGCCTTGCTGCTTTTCCAACTCCCAAACCTGTTTCACACTGTTAGGTTATGGGAGCAGCAGGCTGAAAGGAGGAAGTCTTTAATTATCAAAAGTCTCTCCCTGCCAGTAATGTATCTGGCAACAGTTATTTAAGGCAATTAAAGACTCATCCTGTCCTGCAGCTCCCCCAAGTTCGATGCGGTGAACAAGATAACTTGGTAGTTGGATGACCTGCGTAACAGTAGGACTGAGTTTTTAATTACTAAAAATCAGCCTCTCCTGATGATATCTTCAGCCTTCCACAAGCATAGCTACACAAACAGGATTAGAGCTAGGACGTACTTTTTAAAACAGATTTTATACTATCTTTCCCATATTTATTGCTTTTATCCCAGAACTGGTAATGAAGATATTATTTGTTTCTGTAGATTTGACTTTGGTGGGGAATAAAGATCTTTTATGACGAGCGCCCCCTGAAATAATTCCTAGCCAGCACTCCTGCCAAAACACCAAGCTGGTTCTCAGCTCAGAAAGTTGTGAGGCTTCTACTGTTTTGGCCCTTCAAATCCTGACTTTGATCACGAGCCACAATAAAAGACTCAGTCTTTTTTAATCTAAAGGCACTTGGGGTACAGATTTTTCTCTCGGCTTCGACCACAGATTGCACCATCACAACCCCTCAAAACCAGATAAGCCATTTCAAAAATATAAACAAGAAGTGCCTAGACTGTGATGTCTGATCATTGCTTTTCTTCATTGCATGAGCGACTGGCTGGGTGAGTAGGAGTCTTTTACTTGCTTGCCCACCTAGTAAAAATTACAGATATAAACAACTACAGTCGTGCTCCGCTGGATGATTACCCCGCTCTATGACAAATCTGCTTTACATTGACGTGTTTGTGATCACTTTTGCGATCGCAAAACAATGTTTTAAATGTTTTTTTTTTCGCTGTGTGATGATCGGTTCCCTGCTTCGGGAACCAATTTTCGCTTTATGATGATCAGCCAACAGCTAGTCGTTGGGTTTCAAAATGGCCACCAGCTGAAGAAAATGGCCCCCCCTTGTTTTCTAGGACAGATTCCTCACTTTACAGGCACCAAAATGGCCACCATATGTAGGATCTTCGCTGGACGAGCAGGTATTCAGCCCATTGGAACACACTGAACGGTTTTCAATGCATTTCAATGTTTTTTTTTTATTTTATTTGACAACGTTTTTGCTCTGCAGCAATTTCACTGGAACGAATTAACATCGCCAAGCCACCACTGTATTGAGGAAGAGTTTTAATGACTTTTTTTTTAAAACTTGAAAGGCCTCGAGGGTGTGGTCTTGAGGACCGCAAAAATGCCCTCAGGCTTCTCTCTGCTGTTTTGATCATCCACTCTGCTCTTTTGTTTTCCTTTACCAGGGAATTGTGGGCTAGATTTTGTGAGTGATGAGGTAACCTTGTTTGTGTTCATCAGCAGTGAGGAGAAGACGAAGACTTTTCAGAATCCTCTGGCTTTCCCTCCTGAATTGAAGTTGAAAGTCTGGGATGTCTGTGATCAAAATATTTTTCTAGCTGAGATGATGCAGCAGTTCAGAGGTAAGGTAGAAAACTATCAAAGACTGATGCTGATTCTTGAAGGAACTATCATAAATTGCAAGTGAAGCAACAAAATCTCCCATTTTTCCCTTTGTTTTGTCCCCAGAATAGAGCAGAATAAGGCTATTCGCAGACATTGTGCTGTGGAGTAGGAGGAGTATACGGATCCCCATGAAAAAGACAACCAACACCATGTGGGTGGTTGTATTCCCTCCAGCATGTACAAGTGTGCGTCCTTTTCACCAGCTGCTCATTTAGCGAGTTTGAGAAGCTCCTTCAGAAGGTTTTAGTGTCTTCTTCATAATTTGATATCTTCCACATACTGTATTTTTCCACGTATAAGATGCAACCATGTATAAGATGCCCCCATTTTTCTAACCCAAAATTAAGAAATCTAAGTGGGGCTTAACAAGTATAGGGGGAACAGGATCAAAGCACTGCAGGATCAGTTTGATCCCTGCTTTCTCCTTTCATGCTAAGCCCTGTGGTGCTTAGCAAAAGGAGGGGGAAAGGGATCAAAGCAATCCTGCGATCGTTTTGATCCCTTTCCCCATTATACTTGATTTGTTCCTCTTTTTATGCACAAAGATGTTCTTACGTTAGCATTTTATGATATTAAAACAGAGTGAAAGGGACTTGGGAAAGTGATCTGTGAAACTATCATGAGGAGAAACCTCTTTTAGTTACTGTGGGTGTATTCGGTACTTAAGAATATATCAATCAAGCTCAGGGAACACAACATCAAATTAATACACATGTGCATTTGACATCTGAAAAATTTAATCAAAGTGGTGATGGCACTAGGTTTTACAAAACTTAGTTCCCATTGACAGACTTTGTAAACTCAAATTGGGCAATTCTCACCCTGCATCATGACACCTGTTGCTATACATGGAAATACTTGTTTTCGATACTATAAACCTTTATTGGCATTAAACAGTGTGGACAGGGAAATAAACAGGGGAAAAAACTCAGGGCAAATAGACACAATCAACATTGATGATGAAGTACAAAATGAATGAGAAGTAATACATATTACCCGGAAAGTGGGGTAAAGGAAAGTTCAGCATTATAAGGCAACAGTAAATAGAAGGGGAAGATATGGAGGCAGTGATAGATTTCACTTTCTTGGGCTCCATGATCACTGCAGATGGTGACAGCAGCCACGAAATTAAAAGATGCCTGTTTCTTGGGAGGAAAGCGATGACAAACCTCGACAGCATCTTAAAAAGCAGAGACATCACCTTGCCAACAAAAGTCCGAATAGTCAAAGCTATGTTTTTTCCTGTAGTGATGTACGGAAGTGAGAGCTGGACCATAAATAAAGCTGGCCACGAAGAATTGATGCTTTTGAATTGTGGTGCTGGAGGAGGCTCTTGACAGTCCCCTGGACTGCAAGGAGAACAAACTTATCCATGCTAAAGGAAATCAACCCTGAGTGCTCACTGGAAGGACAGATCCTGAAGCTGAGGCTCCAATACTTTGGCCATCTCATGAGAAGAGAAGACTCCCTGGAAAAGACCCTGATGTTAGGAAAGTGTGAAGGCAAGAGGAGAAAGGGATGACAGAGGATGAGATGGTTGGACAGTGTCATCAAAGCGACCAACATGAACTTGACCCAACTCCGGGAGGCAGCGGAAGACAGGATGGCCTGGTGTGCTCTGGTCCATGGGGTCACGAAGAGTCGGACACGGCTAAACGACTAAACAACAACAAAGTTTCAAAATTTCAGTTAAGTAGTTTGCCACAGCCACAGTGAGGGGAGCACAGCGGTCACTGAAGAAAATAGGGAGAAGATCAAGGAAAGGATCCAAAAAGGGAATCAGCTAATGATCTAAAAATGATCCGATAGGAGTGGTTTGCTGGGCATCTAGAATACGTGTCAGGCAGCAAATGACAGAAAAGGCAAAGTCTTTTGTCTTTAGGGATTTTGGAAAAGCAGCCAAAATGCAGGGCCGATGGAAAGATGTTAAACCGGGCTAGCATAAAAGCTTTTATGCTGGAAATACTTGTTTATTTGATCATACATGAACTGAACTGCTTCTATGCCCTCCTTTGGTCTCATTGTATGGATATATTTATGGATTTGTTACTATAATAACTACATGTTATGGATATATTTTTCACAATAAATAACTTTTTCCTTTCACAGATGCTTTATTAACTGGACCTGTATTGCACAAAGGTATGTTTCTGATGGCAACACAACATATACACCAAACAACATGAAATAACTAAAATAACAAAAAAATTAAAAGTAATTTAATCTAAAGGCAAGGTGGCATAACTGAAAAACGCTGAGTCAACCATAGTGTTACGATGTGATAAATTCCTGTCTCAAAAGCCAAGTTTTCAGTGATCTTTTGAAAATTCCCAGTGAAGGGGTCAGGCGAATTTCAGGCAGGAGCTTATTCCACAGCTGAGGAGCAACTGCTGAGAAGGCCCTGCTTTTGGTCTTCTCTTTCCGGGCCTCTCTCAGGGTCAATGTTCTCAGCCACCTGGCCTGTGAAGATGGTGCAGGATAGACAAAGCTCCACAAGCCAAACATTTGGGTGGACCTTTCTTACAGGAAGGTAAACATCTCCATTGTGAATGGAACAATCGTCCCAAGTGGGAGGATAGATAAGAACCTTGTAAGTGTGAAGAGACCGCCTTAACTTCCTTGTCTGGTCAGGCCCTTCGTTGGGTTAACCTTAAACACGCGCACACATACACTCAAACATAAACATTTGGAGAGGATATTGGCAAAAGGTGAGGGGAGGACAATAAATTTTGGCACCCTTCTCAGCCACACTAGACACTGTTCCAAGTCCTCTATTCAGAGCATGTTACCATAGTCTCTCGAGACTGAAGGATGCCTACACGGTACAGAGATTTATTTACTGTATTATTAACAATTATTAATTGGACTCATCTGCACTGAATCCAATGTGGTGTAGTGGATAGAGTGATGGACTAGGACTCTGTAGACCAGGGTTCAAATCCCCAATTAGCCATGGAAACTCGCTGGGGGATTAGAACTGGTGAGACCACTCCTTAAATATCTCACTCACTCTGAAAGCCCTGTTATGTTTACTCTAAGTTGGTTCTGACTTGATGGCCCAGAACAATGTAACAAACGTCCACTGAGTCTTCATGCTGCTCCTTTTAAGTTTTCTCGAGATACGAGTTGTTCCTTCCTTCTGCTTTTTTTTTTTAATACTAACAGCCCCAGGTATAGCTTTAAAATGGTTTCCTTGGCTGTGGTTCTCTTTTTAATCTAGACATTTTCCTTTTTTAAAAAGAAGGAAAAGAAAAAGGCTAATGGGAAATTTATAAGTAAATTTTGTAATAGTAATAAACTATATATTTAGGGATTTGGAAATCAAATTCCAGAGGGTTTCCCAGAGTTGTAAACGCCTGACACGCCAGGCCTTGTCTTCTGCTGCTGCTGAAGTGAACCATGTAACAAGAGTGCGGAAGTGATAGTGTCGGTGTAGAGAACCACAGGACCTTAATGAGGGTCACCTGAGCAGTGGCATCCCTCCCTCCCTCCCAGAAAGAGAATTCCCTTTTCACGCTATCTGAGAGGGATGTGGGTTGACATGCACCCATCATCCACTCTCATGCTTTCACACACAATCCCTCAGCAGGGCCAGAATGTCTTGGCAGGTTGAAGTGTCCTGACCCGGACGCTTTTGTGTTGTTTCTTCTGATACTAGCTTTGTGGAAACCGATGGTCAGTTGTGGAAACTCCCTGACGGGCAGGTGGAGAGAAGAGAGGAGCATTACTGGGGCAGGATGGCACGTCCCGTATTAGAGGATTCCTGTGGAAAGGGACCCCAGATGTTGTGGTTCACACCCAATGTTCTCTCGAAGGTGTGCACGTGCGTGCTCGCCCAAAGCTCTATTGGAACGGCACACGGGCATCTGGTTCGTTTACTTCTCATTTCAAATGAAGCCCCCCACAAAGCCCTGTGCACCTGGAGCAAGGCTCCCAAATCAGCGGGAAAGAAAATGAGAGGGAACATTGGTCACGCCATTCAGTTGGTACTCAGGAAAAGTGACTCAAGTACAGTACAAGGCCTCAAAGCGAAACGGATATAACACTGCCATGTTTTTACTTACTGCTCACCCTTGAGATCATTCACATATCAAAGAGCGAGAGCCCATTCTAGACCATAATACTTCCTTCTCAGACACTTTGAGGAGGAGGCCTGGACTCAGCCACAGACAATACACACTCACACAACTGTAGACAACTGCTCACTGCTAATAGGTGACACAAGACAATGAGGAAATGGAGAACAGACACTAACAAGCTAACAAACCCATATGCCAACCTTGTCCAGGAATTGACACTGGTTGGACCTAAGGTAAAGTTTCCCCTTGACATTTTAGTCAGTCGTGTTTGACTCTAGGGGGCGGTGCTCATCCCCATTTCCAAGCCGTAGAGCCAGCATTTTGTCCGAAGACAGTTTCCATTGTCACGTGGCCAGTGTGACTTAGACCCAGAACGCTGTTTACCTTCCCACTGAGGTGGTACCTATTTATCTATTCGCATTTACATGCTTTTGAACTGCTAGGTTGGCGAGGAGCTGGGACAAAGCGACGGGAGCTCACTCCATCGTGTAGATTCGATCTTACGACTGCTGGTCTTCTGACCCTGCAGCAGACAAAGGCTTCTGCGGTTTAGCCCGCAGCGCCACCACGTCCCACGGACCTAAGCTAAAGTCAATTTGTCACCCTCTATGGGGCCCCAGGTTTTTTTTTCCCCCTGTTTATTTTTGTTATATGGAATATTTTTCTTATATGTGTTGAAAAAGCTTAAAATAACCCCTTGTAAAAAGAACCCTGCTGTGGTGTGCTAATGACAACATTCACACACCTGTATTTCTCTCACCTCCTTGTCCCCACCTTCTCTTCTGCTCCTTGTCTTTCTTTGTCCCCAAATAGCAAATGTCACCCTGGATCCAAAGACAGCAAGCCCCCGCCTCGCCCTGTCTGAGGATTGCAAAAGTGTGAGACACGAATTCAGATGGCAAGATGTGGAAGACCATCCTGAGAGATTCAACTTTTCTCCTTTTGTGCTGGGACAGGAGGGATTTACTGCAGGCAGACATTACTGGGAAGTCACGGTGGAAAGGGGGGAAAATTGGGCTGTGGGGGTGGCCAGGAAGTCCGTAGGGAGGAAAGGCCATGTTGGTCTGAATACTAAGGAAGGAATCTGGGCTGCAGGGAAATGGAAAAGTTGCAACGATGTGGGCTCCAGTGATCCACCCCAATCTTTTGTCTCTCTGAGTGGGAAGCCGAGGAGGATCCGGGTGTCCCTGAAATGTGATGTGGGACAGGTGTCCTTTTATGATGCTGATACACAATCCCATCTCTACACTATATCTGGAGCCTCTTTCACTGGGGAGACCTTTCTCCCCTTTTTTGGTGTTTGGGGAAAAACCTTCCTCACCTTAAGGGACTCAAGCCGACCTCGGAGGAAATCTAAACTGGTCAAGAATCCTGCCCTAAAGAGGCTTATGGACGCCCTCCCCTCTCAGAAAACAATATGAACTAAGATGGGGGGGTATCTGCTTTCCTCCCTCCCTTTCCCAGATTCCTTTCCTCCTTTTTTCAATTAGTTCTTTAAGAGACAGCAGCCCTTTTTACTGCATGTCAAAAATCTCCCCTCTGTATTTTTTGAAAAGATATCACATCCGCAACTCATTTTTTTATTCCTTTCACACCACCCTGACTGACTTTGCTGTTAAGATTCACTGTCCCCACCTCCCCCCAAAAAATATAAGAATACACACTCTTTTCCCAATAGAGCCCTGACCTCAATCAAGCATGAATAAATTGTTGTTACTTGCTGGATAATGTGCTATTTTAGGAAAAATCACTAAGCTCAAGAAAGCTAACTTGTGTATTTCCCTCAAACAAATAAACATGCTGTGCATTTTGCCATTTGTGTGGGTTGATGTGGGTCAGGCTGGGCTTGAATTGATCCCCCCAAAATATGGAGAAGCTTACCCTTGAAATAAGGAAGTTTGCTCAACTTGTGTATAATTAGCATTTCTGCATATGCAGGTGTTCATTTTTACAATCTGCCTTCTTTGCATAATATATTTCCGTGAACGCGTTCTTCATAGAACAGAGCAGAAAATATCTTACCTAATCTCAGCTCTTATTCAGTACCAGCATTTAATTTTAGGATGACTTCTACAATTTTGAGTTGAACAAGCATCTTGTACTGTGGAGATCATCCACATCACTCATGCCATTCATATTCAGGAGCTGATTTGCATTAACCTATGAAAGGCCTGGAGAGGCGGAGTCAGCAGCTACATGAGGCTTGGCGGGAGAAGGAGGAGTCAGATAGAGCTGGTTAGTTGGGGTGGGGGGAACAGATACTGAGAGATAGAGCTGGTTAGGAAAATAGGTAGAGAACGTGGTAATGATATAGCAAGAGAAAAGTACAGTGGTACCCCTCATTACGACGACCCCATATGACGACGAAATTGCTTGACGATGACTTTTTTGCAATCGCTATTGCGATCGAAAAACCATGGTTCCTATGGGTTTTTTGCTTTACCTTGATTAGGCCCTTGCTTCACGAACCATTTGTTTGCAAATCAATGTTTTTTCTGGCTCCGCAAAATGGCTTCCCTCCCTTCGCAAAATGGCTGTTTTCCGGACAGAAGCTGCGGAAGACACCGATTTTAAACAGCTGATCGGCGGTTCTCTATGGGCGATCTTCGCTGGACAATGAGGTATTTCCCCATTGGAACGCACTAACCGGTTTTCAATGCATTCCAATGGTGTGTTTTTGGTTTTTTTTGCATGACGATTTCGTTGTACAGCGATTTTGACAGAAGGGATTATCATTCTCATGCAGGACACCACTGTATATACTGAGAGGATTGTTGATGATTCACTTATGTATAATGTGTATCTGAGAAACTTCTGTGATTATTCAATCTGCTTCACTTCAATAAATAAGTTCTGTTTCTGTTCACAAGTCAAGCGTTCGGACAAACGTCATTTATACTGTGGACTGAGGTAATCCACTGGTAGCAGTGTGAAGAAAATGTGACATGACCCTTTGTGAGGGAAAGACCAGCAGGGGCCACAAGGGCAAACGTCACATGTACACGTCCACTGTACCACTCAAAATAAGCAACTTGGTAACGGCTGACAGGATGGCACAGATTGCTTCCACCATGTTCCCTCTTTTCACAGAAGAACATGGGTCATCATCAGCAAATTCTCCAGAGGCACTCTTCATAAACTCTCCTTGTTTTTATGGACATTTTCCATAGCTGCTACCAGTTCTTTATGGTACTGGCTCTCTTGCAATTGTATCCCCTTTCTCTAATAAGTTTTCTGTTGCTTATATTTGTTAGAAAGATCCTTATTACTGGTATTGACCAACGTTGTGACCTATGTAACAAGAGATTTGAGCAGGCGTTCAGCTGTCGGTGTCCTTATCTCCAGGTTTAGAGGATCCCATTTGAAGTGAATGTTTCCTGAATTAATGGCAGACATTTCTGCAAGTCCTTTCAAGCTGTGCTGGTGGTGATTGCCTAAACTCACCGGATCATTCTCCCAAATGGAATTGGAGAGCGACTTCTTGTGAACATGGAGGTTACTCATTTATTAGATGGATTGTTCATTTGTTTTTTTCTTATTTTTTAAATAATGAGAATAATTGCAAAGGCAATGTAAGGCAAAGGTTCCCCTTGACATTTAGTCCAGTCGTGTCCGACTCTAGGGCATGGTGCTCATCCCCATTTCCAAGCCGCAGAGCCAGTGTTTGTCCGTATACAGTTTCCGTGATCACGTGGCCAGCGCGACTCGACACGGAACGCCATTACCTTCCCACTGAGGTGGGACCTATTTATCTACTCGCATTTTGGTAGTTTGATAAATGATCCTTTTAGGATTGCATAGCCATAGTTACTATTCTTAAACACTGTATTTCAATTTTTGTAAGGTGCCTTGTGTCCTTTTAAAGGAGAAAGGCGGGTTAAAAAATGTTTATTCAGGCAGGTCTTTGAGAATCTTACACCAATAGAATGCAGAGTACTTACCAAACCCTAAGTCACAGATTCCGCTATCCTGATTGTTCTTATTCAATGTTATTTTTGTAAATGTTAGTTTATAATGTTTCTAATTTATAAAATTTAGTGTGTATTGATTTTTTTATACTACGTCAATGTTATTTTATTTTAATTTATTGTTGTTGACTATTGTTTTATTTTCTGTTGGGAACCTCCCACAGCGGCCTTGGTAGCCAGATCACTGAAAGGTCGGTCTTGGAAAGACAATGTCCATAGGTAAAAAGTTCCTTTTTCAAGAGTAACTGGCAAGGGCCTAATGCACCTTCCCACGATGTCATCCAATCAGAGTTCGTTACTAGGCAAACAGTCCTGTTACATCACATGAATTCTTTCTCATCCACAGCAGATGTTATTTGGGTTACGGTGGTTTCTCAAAGAGTCACAACATTTCCACCTATCTAATCACACAGAGTCCTTCTCAGGCCTTCAGAATAACATTCCTCTGCTCGCCTAGAAAACAACTTGTCAGCATAGCACAGATACTATATACAAAGAAACAAAATGGAACCTCTCTGGCTCACTTCATAATTACAAAACCCATATGCCTTTAAAAGATTTTAACTTAAAAACCCATCTCATCACACTTACCAACCCCTAAGTCACAGGTTCCGCTATCCTGATTGTTCTTATTCAATGTTATTTTTGTAAATGTTAGTTTATAATGTTTCTAATTTATAAAATTTAGTGTGTATTGATTTTTTTATACTACGTCAATGTTATTTTATTTTAATTTATTGTTGTTGACTATTGTTTTATTTTCTGTTGGGAACCTCCCACAGCGGCCTTGGTAGCCAGATGAATGGTGAAAGAAAGAAAGAAAGAAAGAAAGAAAGAAAGAAAGAAAGAAAGAAAGAAATTTTCTCAATCTCTCCCATCCTGTTTTCAGTGCTCTTCTTATCAAGGGATTTGGATGAGCAATTACTCGCCTGGCCAGCCACGGATACTCCCTTCTCTGAAGTCTGACTTTACCCCCAGCCTTCTTTCTTTTTTCCACCGCATTCCCTTTTCAGATCTGTCCTGATTTACTTTCACTCACCTTCTCTCTACAACCTTTGCCTAGAATTCACAAGAGAGGAAGAACTCCTCGGCCTATTGAAACTATCATAACATTCCAAAGCCACACTGCCCCCTACTGGAAGGAAAGGGGTGGGACAGGAAGAAGCCTTCTATGTGCCCGTTTTTTAAATTGCATGTACCCAATCATACATCATCTGCTTTCTCTCTAGGAATTTCAACTCTCTTCGTTTAACTATTTGAGAATCCTTTAGCTTGGCGGTTCCTCTAAAACCTTTTCTTTACCACGCCTCCCCCCCCCTTTGAAATATCTTATGTTGCCGTGGACCACTAAAGTTTAACTCAATATCGGTAATCCTGAAGTGCATCAAATCTGAGATTTAAAGTTTCTCATGAAGGGTCTCAACCACAGATATCCCTTCCTATAACGGTGAAACTTTTTAAGATGACAAGAAGAAGCTTTATTTTGCTTTGAATAGGATCAGTTCTTTTTCACATTCAGCCAGCAATCCATTCTGAGGCTCAGCCAAAATGTATTGTTACAAAATTCACTGCAACAATATGGAAAAGCCACTTTACCCAGCATTAACCAGTTTTATTAGCATAAATCAAAGAAGAAACACGACAATGAAAACTGTCCACTCACTCACTCACACTGCGCAACAGGAAGAAATTTGACTTGCTGCCTGTCTCTCAGCCACTCAGTGTCACTTACTACTTGCACGTTCTCATCATGCGCATAAATATCAAACAGTTATTGGCTACAGAAGTTACTTTCATAACCAATGTTTACTTTTGTTTTTAATGGAGGTGGTAGTTAGAAAAGCCATGTTTTACACAAACAAGCAAGGGAAATTAAAATGTTGTTCTATATTTCCTTTCTTGCTTTCTTTCATTCATCCATTCATTCTGTTTTAACTGTAAAGGATTATAACATTTCTTCAATAGACCCCATAGACCCTCTGTGAGAACATAGCAAGCCTCTGGGGGTCTGCGGACCACAGATTAAGAACCTATGCTTTAGCTGATTGAGGGGAGGGCATGTAAGATTTTCATTCACTTTTTTCCACTTTGGATTTCATACCATGGATTTAAAATAATTTACACTTATATTTCTGTGGTTGTTTTTAATATTAACTTACTTATTAAGTTCATCAGGAAAAGAGGAAGACCAAAATGCAAGGTGGACTGACTCCCTAAGGAACCCACAGGTTTGAGTTTCGAAGAGCTGTGCCAGGGCAGTTGAGGTCAAGCCACTCATAGTTTTACTCACTCATAGGTTCGCCATAAGTTAAGAGTGACTTAACAGCACAGATCAACAACAACTAGTTTAGTTGTTTGTTAAAAGAGCATTGAAGGGTGGTGGGAAGGCGTGAGATGTTCTCCGAGCTCAGCACTACAGTATTTGCATATGGCTGCCTATTCAAAGTACAGTATTGTGAAAGGCAGAGGAGCAAGTGCTGATCTGAAATTTGGCAAGTCGTCGTCGTCGTTCAGTCATTTAGTCGTGTCCGACTCTTCGTGACCCCATGGACCAGAGCACGCCGGGCCCTCCTATCTTCCACTGCCCCTGGAGTTGTGTCAAATTCATGTTGGTTGCTTCGCAGACACTGTCCAGCCATCTCATTCTCGGTCGTCCCCTTCTCCTCTTGCCGTCCCAGGGGATTCTCAAGAGCCTCCTCCAGCACCACAATTCAAAGGCATCAGTTCTTCGGCGGTCTGCTTTCTTTATGGTCCAGTTCTCACTTTCATACATCCCAACAAGAAAAACCATAGCTTTGACTATTCGGACTTTTGTTGGCAAGGTGATGTCTCTGCTTTTTAAGATGCTGTCAAGATTTGTCATCGCTTTCCTCCCAAGAAGCAGGCGTCTTTTAATTTCGTGGCTGCTGTCTCCATCTGCAGTGATCATGGAGCCCAGGAAGATAAAATCTGACACTGCCTCCATATCTTCCCCTTCTATTTCCCAGGAGGTGATGGGACCAGTGGCCATGATCTTAGTTTTTTTGATGTTGAGTTTCAGACTGTTTTTTGCACTCTCCTCTTTCACCCTCATTACAAGGTTCTTTAATTCCTCCTCACTATTCAAAGTACGGTATTGTGAAAGGCAGAGGAGCCAGTGCTGATCTGAAATTTGGCAAGTCAGACAGTGAATGTTAAGGTGACAGGATCAATAACACAGCCTCTCTCTTGTCTGAGTGAGACCAGAGCGGACACAGCACAAATAACTGATTAGAATTGAAAAGGGATTGTGAAATCTTATGCATCCCATTCTATGTTTATTCAGAAAGCAGTCTTTCCCAACCTGGTGCCTTCCAGATGTGCCCTCTGGTTGGCTGAGGATGGTGGGATTTGTAGTCTAACTCTTCCGGGAGCACAAGATGGAGAAAGCCGGGTCTAAATTATTTAACACCATGCTATTATGACCCAGGTACTTCTCCCGCATGAAGACACATAGCATAAAAAAGCATGCAAAATGGCCCGGTCTCATTTCAGCATACTATGCAAACTGTTAAAGTGCATGAGGTAGCTGGCTGAATAGTTCAGTGAGTTAGGTCTCTGGCTGTGGAGCCAAAGGTTGGGAGTTCAGTTCCTCACGGTGCCTCTTGTGAGTAAAGCCAGCCTGTGTAGCCTTGGGGCAAAGCTGCAGGTTGGGAGTTCAATTCCTCACGGTGCCTATTGTGAGTAAAGCCAGCCCGTGTAGCCTTGGAGCAAAGCTGACCAGTTCCAGGGTGCTCCCAGAAGAAGGGGATGAAAACCACTTCTGAGTATTCGCTACCTGGGCAACCCTGAAAAGAATCACCAGAAGTCTGACTTGATGGCACATGAGGATGATGTGTGCAAGTCTGACCAGAAAAAAAAGCAGGAGTTCTTCAAATATACCTTATTGTTTTGACCTAAGCTCTGCTTTTCTATCAGATATAATCCATTTCTCTTTAGCCAGAGATAATAATCTAAACTGTCAATGCCTCAAGGACAAATGATGACCAAAATATTATTATTTTAAAGATTTACTTGATGGCACATGAGGATGATGTGTGCAAGTCTGACCAGAAAAAAAAGCAGGAGTTCTTCAAATATACCTTATTGTTTTGACCTAAGCTCTGCTTTTCTATCAGATATAATCCATTTCTCTTTAGCCAGAGATAATAATCTAAACTGTCAATGCCTCAAGGACAAATGATGACCAAAATATTATTATTTTAAAGATTTATTTATTGACTGCCATCATTACTGTTAAGGCAACCCATTAAGCCGTGGGTCCTCAGTGCTTTCATTCATTGTTCACTGCCCAAATAAAAATGCAAGCCAAGAAACACGGGGGGAGGGGGTTAACATCATTACTGTTAAGGCAACCCATTAAGCTGTGGGTCCTCAGTGCTTTCATCCAATGTTCAGTGCACAAAAATGGAAGCCAAAGAAACACGGGGGGGAAGGGGGATAATTATACAAAAAGTCAGAAGTGTTTTAGAGCCACTGTGAGCAGCTGTGGTCTTCCAACTCGAGACGTGCTAATGTGTATTTTTGCACTACAACTTCCAGAATTCCTAGGCTCTGTGTCTGTTTAGGGAATTCTGGAAGTTATCATCCAAAATCACCGACTTTAATCTCCAACTGGATTTCTTTTTCCACTTGCCTCTCCCACCAGCCTCTAGCCAGCACACCCAATACAAAGGAATGATGAGAGTTGTAGTCCAAGAACATCTCAAGGACCGTAACTGCTGCACATGTCTATGATCCATGGCCTTTTAAAAATCTGTATATATGTAATAGGATTCTCACTGAAACACAGTGAAACTGCTGAAATTAATCTTTCTCAATATGTATGCTGTTTTCTGTTGAGCAAACACAAGCAAAAGGTCAAACGCTGACACTCCCAAGAGGAGGAGAAGCAGGCAGGATAGGCTGTCTGTGATTCAGGCTGAGCAAGGGGGGCCTTCAACCTGCCATTGCAGGATGAGACCCACCCACCCTTGCAACAAAAGCTCCCCCAAACTCCCACTATATTCCTCCAGTACCCTTTGGGAGTTTTTGTAATGTACAATATTTATTTGATTTATAGTCTGCCTTTCTCTCAAAGAGCAATCCTCAAGACAGTTGATGTATCATGAAGTCGTTTCTGAATGAACAGCGACCTCTAAATGCCCTATCCTTAACAGTCCTGCTCAGGTTCTTTTGCAAACTCAAAAGACACGGTTTCTTTTATTAAGTCAATCCATCTCACATTAGATCCTCCTCTTTTCCCTCTGCTTTCAACTTTTCACAGCAGTATGGGGAGTTTTGTCTTTTCATGATATATGCCACAGTCTGATCATTTTTGCATATTTTGCCTCAAGGTAATCTACCCGGGATCAAGGCAACTGCAATCAAAAGATTAAGCAGATGGAGGCTATGATCTGAAATCTATTCAAAAAAGAAAAGGAGAAAAACACCAATCACCAACACTTGACGCCAGTTAAAATCCTGTTCCTTACACACTAAGGCTGCTTCACTGCCACAGGCCCCACTAGATCCAAAGGTGGCTTGCAACGAAATCCTGCAAAAAATAATAAAATAAAGAATACCTAGAAACCCTAGAAACTTTTTTTAAAAAAAATTAAACATTTTCCTCTCCTCCCTTTGAAAATCGCCCTCCCTTCTGCTTTCTCTGACATTAGCTCGCTCTAGGACCCGGCGCCCTCTGTTCATCAACCCCACCCACCTCCCCAAAAATACGGACGAAGAGCACAAGGAGGTGGGGGGGAAGAGACCTGAGGATGATGGTGACGAAGAGCTACCAGGGGGCGCGCAGCCGGACGGGATCGCATGGGGGGGGGATCCAGTCGTGAACCCGAAGTGTGGCGCTGGGACATCAGGTAGATCCAGGTAAAGCTTGTAACCAGGTGAGCGCAACGAGCCAAGGAGGTGGGACCCGTTTGCAAAGGGAGGGAAGAAAAAGCCCTCAGAGAGGCAGGAAATCCGTGGCCGAGGGACGCGGCAGCTTTGCCCGCGAGGAGACCGCCTGGAGGCAGGTTTCTGATCGTGGGGTTTAGGTGCTCAGCACCTTTTTCCGGGCTCCCCTCATGGCGCGCCTGGATCCGAAGCGGTGCATGGAATGGGCGAAGAAAGGGAAGAAGGGGAAATCTCTCTTTTAATTTTTTTTTTACGGGAATCAATAGGACGAAGAAGGGGGTTTTGTCTTTTATTGCCACCGAGTAGTCCCATTCCGCCTTTCTTTCTTGGAAAGTAAAAAGCCACGGGGGCTTGAATCGCATTTACAGCCTTTTTAAAGGACATGCCTTTTCCCCAGGTAAGTGTGTGGGGGTTTCAGGTTTGCCTTCCCTGGGAGCAAGCCCCACTGAACTTAGAGGGCATCACTTTTGGGGAAATATGGATATAATGGTAATTTGAGAACTGGAGGGCTGGAAGGGACCTTATGGATCCATCGAGGCCACCCCTTGTGAAGGAGGCATCGTGAGGAATCGAACTCCCAACCAGATGCCTGAACTTACTGAGCTATGAGGATTGCATTAGAGTTGGTGAATTTCAGTGACCAAAACTTTTAAACACTCTCCTTAGTCTTTATAAAGGCACACTGAAAAACTCCTATTTCTGCTGTAAGCCACTAGGTATGTTCTTGAGAGTGACCGCTGGGTTGTCTTGAGAGTGAATCGCAGTTTCTCAGTCCAACATGCCCTGAAGGGTTGTTGTGAGGGTGTGTGTGTGGGGGGGAAGAGGGTTGAATATATATGCCTATTGGTCCAAGTTCTTCGGAAGGTAGGGTTAAAACTTCTTTTAAAAACGAAGCAAAGCAGGAGGACCCACAGATGTCTGTGTCTGTAGTACTGGCCATTGTATACTTTAATTTCTCTTCAGGACCTACAAACTCCAATAGAAGCAAACTCCTAGTACTATGTTGAGAGTAATCAACTTGAGTATTATTTAATGCAGTAAGATTTACTCCCAGGTAGAAATGAAGCCCTAGATCTCGGTCCTTGAATTCTACAAGTACTGAGGTGTTTTTTTTAATGCACCTTTTCCACTGGGTTGTTGTTTTGATTATTTTTGAATACACGCAATCTGAATACGCACAAACTATCCCCACAGACACCTAGATTTGGAATAAGCTAGAGTGTGAATCTAAATTCTACCTAATCCTGAATGTAGAGGTGTGTATGTGGGTGTGGGTGTATTCATAAACACACTTTAAAAAGGAAGGAGACAGTAAGATTTTGCCACGAATTCTGTTTAAAACTTTGGCACCTCTTCCCTTCTCCCTCACAAGCAGCGAAGGGAGCCCCTTTTCCCACCTCAAACCTCGTAGAACGTGAAGCTGCGCTGGCTAATTTTCCAGTCACACAACTTTCCAGTCACCACAAGGTTATGGAACAAGCAGAGGCTGGAAAAATTGCCAGCCTCCCAAAGCAAAAAACTGGCCCAGCTGGTTGGTTTGCTTTCGGGCTACTTGCCATAAAAGCAAAGAGGTATGGCTGGATTTTTCCCTTTCTCTTAAATTACACTAAAAACAAACAAAAAACACACGCACACACACTCTCTGTATCAGCCAAACCAACAGCATTTGTCTTGGGTTGAATCCCCAGGGTTGCCAAAATTAGCCATACTCCAAGTAAGGTACCATGTTGAGAATGAGCAACTGAATATTATTGAATGCAGTAGGATTTATTGCCAGGCAGAATTGATGCCCTAGATCTCAATATTTTAAACCTAAAAGCACATTAAACAGTTGCAAAGCTAGTATGCAATGTCCAGTTTCTAGTCCTCATGGAGCTATACAAATATATCGGAAGACCATGGGCCTGCTATTGTCTTTCTTTGATACTGGCATACCTCCTAGGGTTGTTGCTCTAAGGATGTACAGTAGTAGGAAGGAGATAAATGTAATAGTGTCTTCATCCTTCGGAAGAAGAGGTACCATAAGTGTAACTTAAACACTTAACATAAAATAACTTAAATGTAACTAACAAAATTACTAAATAGGCTGAGCAGAGTTGCCTCCAGGTTTGATGTGACCGTGAGTCTTCATAACAACAACAACAACAACGATGATGATGATAATGATGATGATGATAATAATTAATAATAGAAAGGTTAATCACAGAGAGCCACAGTTGGTAATAGCCAGGTAAACCAAGTTTACCATTGAGTTTTACCCCAACTCTACTTATTTTGTTACTTTTGCTTCTAGGGCATGATGTGCAGCCCAGAATAAAAATGGAGGAACTGCATTCTGGTCACATTGGGGGGCAGAAAATGGAAGAAGGAGGAAAAGACTCTCAATTTGGGTCGGTTGGCAGTCTCTTGCCCAGTCCTGATGCTCCTGAAATTAAAGGTGAGCCAGATGAGGAGCTGCATCAGGACGCCCAGTGGAAGAAGGTCCTGGAGAAAACTTGTTCTGGAGGAGGTAAATCCCAGCTTCCTGGTTCTGAAAATGGGGATAATATTACATTTTTCTCCACACCTCTGAAGTCCATTGCTAATGCCAGCCACAGGCCTAGACGTAGAAGAAAGTCAGCACCTGAAACTCTCCCAGGTCACTGTGGAAAACCCCCTAAGGCCTCTGAAAGCCAGGATTCCTCCACAAAAGACAGAGACGTGGATGTGGACACAGTCCACTTGGAAAGACTGCGCCAGCAATTCAGGCAGTTCCACTACCAGGAGTCTGCGGGACCGCGAGAGACCTTTGGCCGTCTTCAAGGGCTTTGCCATCAGTGGCTGAAGCCAGAGAGCCGCACGAAGGAGCAGATCCTAGAGCTGGTGATTCTAGAGCAGTTCCTGGCCATCCTCCCACCAGCAATGCAAAACTGGGTTAGAGAAGATGACCCAGAGACCTGTGCCCAGGCGGTGGCCCTAGCAGAGGACTTCCTGCTCTGGAAGGATGAGGCTGAAACACAGGAACAGAAGGTGAGGCAACCTTGCTTCCAGCCTGTCCCTTGAGGAAGGAAAGGGTAAACCACTTCTGAGTATTCTCTACCTTGGAAAATCAGAATTGATGGCTGCTGCTGCTGCTGCTGCTGCTGCTGCTGCTGCTGCTGCTGCTTCTTCTTCTTCTTCTTCTTCTTCTTCTTCTTCTTCTTCTTCTTCTTCTTCTTCTTCTTCTAGTTCTTCTTCTTCTTCTTCTAGTTCTTCTTCTTCTTCTTCTTTTTCTAGTTCTTCTAGTTCTTCTTCTAGTTCTTCTTTTTCTTCAGCCCTGTCACATGGGGACTTCTGGGAACTGTAGTCCAAAGCCACAAATCTGCACATACTTCTAATTTTAATGCCTCTTTTGTGAGTGGTTGCCTGCTGTATAAAACCAATGCTAAACCAGTTTGACTTGGGTCTTGATCCATCAAAACAGCTCTTAATATTCTGAAGCCTTCTAAGTCTGTCATAATTTTCTCTGTTTACTTTCAGATGTCAGAGCTTTTGGAGAATGTGACGGATTTCCCCAAAGCAGAGGAGATTCCATCGGATCCTACAATAGTGCCGTCCTGCATAGAGACTGAGAGGAAGAGTGAAGAGAAGGCTGACCTGCTAGGTAAGATACGGCTGGCTTGGGTTTTATGAAGCTTCTCAAGTGATTTTTCTGTAGCTACTCCATCTCCAAGCAAACCACTACCACAAACAATTGAAGCATGAATGCATTAGCTAGGGGTGGCTTCAGATTTTGGCATGGGGTCTTTTGATATTTCACATGTGTCACTAATTGGATGTAGAGCTTGGAAATGTTTCCTTTTTTGAAGTTCATTTTGTGGAATCCACCATCTGGAATGAAATGCTGGGAGCTACATTTTTAAAAAAGAAACTTCTTCACAATCTGGTCCCCCCTCCGGCACCTGGGGGGGGGGGAAGAAAGCCTTAAATGGTTTGGACATCACCACCTATCAGAATGTCTTCTTCCAAGTTCTGCTGCCCACTTTACTTGGTCCTCTCATGCCTACAGTGTTGACACCAAGAGAAGCCTGTAGGACATTGATAAGAAACAGGGCTTTCTCTGCAGTGGCACCGTCTCTTTTGAACGCCCTCCTGCATGGAAATACACCAGGCACCCACCCTGTGGATCTTTAAGAAGCTGGATGTTTAAAATGGAGGTTTTTAGAAAAGTGTTTGAGGAGGCCCTCATTTAAAGGAGGGAGCAGGAAAGAAGAAAAAGATGTAATAATAATTAGAATACCTTCTTGTTAATTTTTTCTGCTATCTGTTCCACTTTGCAGTACTTATAGTTATTTGTTTCTATAATATGGTTTGTTTGGTGTGTTGCTGTGAACTGCCCAGAATAGCTGGTTTGTTAGATGAGTGGTATAAAAAAATCAAATAAATATATAAATTCCCCTGGACTGCAAAGAGAACAAACTTATCCATTCTGAAGGAAATCAACCCTGAGTGCTCACCGAAAGGACAGATCCTGAAACTGAGGCTACATTACTTTGGCCATCTTATGAGAAGACTCGCTGGAAAAGACCCTGATGTTGGGAAAGTGTGAAGGTAGGAGGAGAAGGGGACGACAGAGGACGAGATGGTTGGACAGTGTTACCGAAGTGACCAACATGAGGTCACAAAGAGTCGGACACAAATTAACGATTAAACAGCAACAACAATATTATGATAGATAAATGATATACTGTAACGGTATAATGGCTACAGTGATCGCTGAAAGGAAGGAATAACCTTACCTAGAATACGGTGGCTTCCTTAATTGCTGAATATGATTTGGGCAATTGGAGTTTCATTACCCTTTATAGGTCCACATGACTCGCAGAGGCAGGATAAACCATGTAAAAATAAGGAAATATGTATGGATTTTGATATATTGCAGTTTGATGAACTTGGGTTTTCTTCTGGTTGACATACAAAATATGCAGTTTCTTTCTCTTTTTAAAATGAAGCTTTTGTAAGTTCAGAGTGAGGGCACTCTGCTTTTGGTCCTGCTTAACCTTAGAGTTTTTTTGCCATTACGTGTGTGTATCAGACTTAAATGCATAAGGACTGCTCAACTTACATCTCATTTAGCTTTGTGATGCAAACATCCCTACTTGTTAGCAAGTCAATTTGGACACCAAACTGTGTTAAGCACGGCTGTATGAATAATGCCTGAACTGAGAAATTAACTCCACTCCTAAAAATGGAACATCTTAACTGCCTGGATATTTGGTTTCTCAGAGCTTGGATCTCCATACATTGGCCTCTTACGTAATCATCTTGAATCAACACATGGATATTGAGGGGCAGGAAGCATTGGTTAGTTTCATTGGGTCCATTTTTTATCTTTTTGATCCAGTTTCTTAGTTTGCAGCTTATTACTTATGTTGTGATTCTCTTGTTTCTGTCAGGTGATGGGCAGACGGCCAATCCTGAGAATAAACGTTCTCAGCCAGAAGCGTCTAAACAGATGGAATTGGCTGGTGCTTCATTGGACAAAGCCAACTGGGATCATTTTGAATTTCTACCAATGGAAAAAACGTCTAAAAGTCTACAGGTCACAGAAAGGGTTGAAGGAAGCCACCAAGGGCAGAGGGGGGTGGAAAACAGTAACTGGGAGAGGAATTGTGATCAAATACTGAACCGAAGTGCCTTCCAAGAAAGAACAAATGAGGAGAAGGATATTAGGATGAGCTTTGACTGTACAAAAAGCTTCAGCCGAACTCATGACCTTCTTAAGCCTCAGAAGACGCAAACTGAAAAAAAGGTACATCAGTACACGGACGATGGTGTGAACATCTCCCAGCTGGAGAACACCCACATGGAAGAGGATTGTAGGACCAGCATAGGACAGAAAAGACCCTTAGCTCATCCTTGTAGAATCCCTGTAGGAGAGAAACCATATAAATGCTCTGAATGTGGACACAGATTCAGCCAGAGTTCAGCTGTTACTGGAGATCATCTTTACATATGTTCTCACTGTGGTAAAAGCTTTATTTCTTGCTCAGCCCTTGGAAAACAAGAGACCATACAGACAGATAGGGAACCATCCGACTGCTTGGGAAATAAGAAAGGTTCCCTGCAACCCTCTGATCCACAGGCAGGAGAGAAACCATACACCTGTACAGACTGTGGGAAAAACTTCAGCTTCCGGTCAAGTCTTGTTCGTCATCAGAGACTCCACACCGGAGAAAAACCATATAAATGTTTGGACTGTGGGAAGAATTTCAGCCAGAGTTCAAATCTTCTTAATCACCAGAGAATCCACACAGGAGAGAAGCCCTACAGCTGCACGGACTGTGGGAAGTCCTTCAGTAACAGCTCAAGCCTTACGTCGCATGAAAGAACCCACAGAGGAGAGAAACCTTATAAATGCACCAGCTGCGGGAAGAACTTCAGTTGTAACTCGGTTCTCAGAATCCACGAACGCATTCACACGGGCGAGAAGCCTTATGCGTGCTTGGAGTGCGGGAAAAGCTTCAGCCGGCGAGAATTCCTCATTGGCCACCAGAGAACTCATACAGGGGAGAAACCCTATGAGTGTGTGGAATGTGGCAAAAGTTTCAGTCAACGGTCAAACCTAATTAATCATCAGAGAAGCCACACGGGAGAGAAACCCTTTGAATGCGTAAACTGTGGGAAACGATTTAGTCATAAAGCATCTCTGCTGAAACATGAGAGAAATCATGGGCATGGTCCTTCACTGGAAAAGGATTCAGCTAGAGTTCAAGCTGATTTGCGTGTGGCAGAAGCCACATAGTGGATAAACCACTGGAGGCTAAATCCTATGAAGAACTTCAAAAACTAGGTATGTTTAACTTAACGAAGAGAAGACTGAGGGGAGACATGATAACAGTCTTCCAATATCTGAAGGGTTGCCACTGGGAAGGGGGCATTGCACCTGAGGGTAGGGCAAGAACCGATGGATGGAAAATCGTCGGAGGGAGATCCAACCTGGAAATAAAGAGGAATTTCCTGACGGTGAGAACCATTAAGCAGTGGAACAGCTTGTCTCCCAATGTTGTGGGTGCCCCATCACTGGAGGTTTTCAAGAAAAGATTGGACAGCCATCTGTCCGGGATGGCATGAGGTCTCCTGTCTTGGGCAGGGGGTTGGACTAGAAGACCTCTAAGGTCCCTTCCAACCCTATGATGATTCTATGATTCTATGGTGGGAAATGGCAGAAATGGTTCCCCTCAAGTCTTCCTGACCGGCGGAAAATTCCACACAAGAGAGAACTGACTGCTTGTAAGAGGTGCATTGTTTTGAGGCTAGATTCAGCCTAAAAGAATATGTAATATGAATCTATATATTGAAGAGAGAGTCAAAATTGGGCATGTTTTCCCTTTTTTTCCTGTATTTCTGTTGTTCAGAGGTGGCTAAAATGGCGACATCCATACACAAGAGGGAGGTATATGTCACTATAGGAAAAAGTTTGAAGAAGAAGTTTAATAAAAGGAAAACAAGAAGTAAGAACTGGGCCTGTTCAGTACAGACAGAAGGCTTGCTCACTGTTTTGACTGGGGTTAGATAGAAAACAAAGATGGAAACAATATGCCACGGGAATGGTATATTGTGGAAGAGAGTATGGCTGGTTGGAACAGTGAATAGGAGTGAATACCGAGTGTCCAACGTGCCATCTTAAGCTCCAAGATCTTCATCTTCTTTCTGTCTTTCCAAGTCTCTGTGTTGCACAGATTTTTGCAAGCCTGCCACATAAACTTCATAGCAAATTGTTGCTCTTACAGTCTTGAAAAGTAGCAAAAAGTCGTGTCAGAACTATGGCAGAATTCTGCAGCTTCCGTGCATCACGTGCAAAGTGTCTTCTGTAAGCCCCCAGGCAGCAGTAGTGGTACATAGGTATGGGATTTTTTGGATTTTCTGGACTACAAAAGCCATAAGTCTCCATTCTGGGAGCTCTACATTATTTACAGATGCCCACATGTGATGCATTTGGGGGAAGAGACCTCACCCGGAAGGCTTGGAGGCCTACCCAAGCTTTCTGTTCCTGTCCTGTGGTAAATGGGAGCTTTCTTTCTGAGCATGAGAACTAGGCCAAGCTAAGCCTCAAAGCCTTCAAATGTAGGCCTTTCTTCCAGGTACATTTCAGGTGTTTGCTGGTATCTGGAAAGGTAGGCAGAACTCCCCAAATAGAGAACTGTAGTCCAGAACATCCAAAAAACCCTTCCTGATTTTGAGGTGCAGGTGCCCGTAAGGACATCCCCAAACTCCCACAGGGAGAATCCGGAAACATGTAAACAGCTGGATTGTGTCATACCAATAGGCCAGTTCTAGCAGTCTCCGCTGTCAACCTGGAGCTGCTCTTCTGTACAGTTAAAGGATCTTGATTGCCTTTTCACATCCACACTTTTCCAGCTGTCTAGCATTGTACCCGTGATAGCTTGTGGCAGCCATTTGTTGGTGGGGAACGTCTTCCTGTCAGGTTATTGCATGGTTGGTAGCTAAGCTGAGAGGAGACATCGTAATCCAAGGGCGTTTGCCAACCCTGTATCCATCACAACAGTGGCCTCAGGTTAAGCCTCTTCCAGTCATCTGTTCTTGCAGTCCTTTCTTTGGGAAGAGGGTGTGAATTTGCTGTGCTGTTCAAATCCAGCTAACATCATCCATAGCCCTTCGTTTTTGGACTAGAGATCCCAGAATCCCCAGCATATTAGCCACATGGTGCACACCATGCGTGCTTTTTTTTGGGGGGGGGCAAGGTGCAAGATGGTGGCTGTGGGTGTTTTTTTTAATTACATTTTTGTTCTGTTAAACTTCCAGGCTTGGGAAAGATGGCTCTTTTCCCCACCCCTCCTGTTTTAATTTGACCATTGCCTGAGGTACATTCAGTTGAGGAAGATCAAGTGGCCAGTCTTGCTCATGAATCTGAAGGTGAAAAATAAACATGGAAGCCCTTCTTTTCAACTTTTATTCAACCTTTTTATTAGAAGGGATGCACAGGGGGTTTCTGCTGCCTACTGTCATCCAAGCTGGGGGAAAGCTGTGGACTGCTCTTGTGTATCCTACATTAAATTTTGGCCTCTAACTCTGAGGGAAAAGACGCTACTCCAAGAAATGTCTGGGTAAAGAGTTTTGCATGAATGACTCCAATGAACATATAGTATGAAGGGGGAAAGGGTGGAGCCAAGTACACATGCCTATTTTAACTTAAAGCACCTCTTGACAGTAGCTAAGCCTCGGTTGAGGCATTTCAGCCTTTTAGAGGAGGGGGGGGGAAATAAACTACCTCAGTGCGGAGATTATCATGCAGCGTCATAGGAAAGGGCACATGACCCAAGGAGGCCTTTGCAACCTTGTGGCAAAGTGAAACACCTACTTATTTATTTATTGAGGATCCCTTCAAATTAAAACACAGGAATCAGCCCAGTACCAGATATTTTCTTCTCAAGGTGGGGAACCAAATGTCTTTCCTCAAGTAACCTACTCATCATCATTATGTGTCATCAAGTAAATTTTGACTTACAGTGACCCTTTTTCAGGGTATCCTATGGGTCTATTTAATTTTAAATGAGGTTGTTATTTTGTTTAAATTAAAATAATTTCTGCGTCATCAAGTCGATTAATAAAATAAATAAATAAATAAAATAATGTCTGCGTCATCAAGTCGATTCTGACTTACGGCAACTCTTTTCAGGGTTTTCTAAGCCGAGAATACTCAGAAGTGTTTTATATTTATAAAGGTCATATTTAGCCATTCTGGTTAAAATGCATTGGTAGCTACAGGTGAAGGATAGCAGGAGCCACTCTGCAACAGTGTAATGTGTAGCCATTGTTTTTGTTCACTCTCACAACATCCCTCATAGGTAGGCCAGGGGTATTTCCATTTTACAGATGGGTAGCCAAGGCTGACTCGCACATAGCAAGAATACAGTAGGGTAGGATCTGAACCCAGAACTCTCACTCCCAAATACAAGCCTCTATCCAGTGTGAGACCTAACACAAGATTAGATTAGATTAGGCATCCTTCAGTCTTGAGAGACTATGGTATCTAACACAAGAATATAATGATAAAATCACTGAGAAAATTGCCTCTAAAGTTTAACAAAAAACGGACAAAACACAATAATAAAGAGACAGACTTAAATAGCCCAATTATACATTTATTCAGGAGCAAATCCTGCTTAAATCTCACAGTGGGAAGTAAGAATATGCAGGATCATCTTCAAATGCATTTAAACAAATATTAAGAAAATACCTACTGGTGTGCCTTCATTTAAGACATTATCAATGTAAAAGGACTCCAGTGGTATCCAGTTACATTCTTAAATTTATGGACACAGCCAGTGACTACTAATATCCCTAACTGAGTTAAAACTAATAATAATTAGATAGGACAGTGATCAGTTTCTTCTAATACAGTCTTGTGTTTAACCATTGTGACTAGGAGTTATGTGCAGGTGAGAAAGACATAGAAGACTTGTAGAAAAAGGGTGAATAATCCTATTCTTCCTACACCAGCTTGTCTGGTTTCTGAGCCAGAGAAAACAACGTCTCTTCTTTCCAGTGGGGCCAGATGGGAGCAATTGGAAGCTCCTCATCCCGACCAGTTGACTGAAGCCATGGATTCCCCCACCCACGTCTTTTAATAATAATATGTGTTTCCATGAAAATCACAAGCAAGAGGCCTTCCTTTCTTCCCAGATATCATGGAAATGCAAGGCAGTGCATTATAAAAGGTCTTCACACAGAAGAGGGGGCAGGATCTGTTCTTAATCATCCCCGAGTGCAGGACATGTAATGATGAACTCACGTTACAGGAAGCCAGATTTTCAGCGAAATATTGGGAAGTACTTCTTAACTGTTAGAGCAGTACGACAACAGAACTGATTGCACCTCGGGAGGTGGGAAGCGCTCCAACACTGGAGACATTCGAGAGGAAAGTGGACGATCATCCGTCTGATCGGCTTTTGATTTGTATTCCAGCCTTGAGCAGGAGGTTGGGCTTGATCGCCTTATATGGCCCCTTCCAACGCCATGTTTCTACGCTTCTACAAAATGCAAGGTAGCTCAACATGGCAGTTCTTTTCCCTCCTCTTCTAAAAGACTTATAAGCAAGCAAGAATTTATCCTTTTTTTAGACCAGTAACATTTCATGAGCTTATTGGCTAGCCAGCTTTAGTGATGCATGTGACACACACAATGCTTCTTGGGGCAAAAAATCCTCCCTCTGGTGTAAGCCATCTTGTGGCTGGATGACAGGCAAGGCTAGTGCAAGACTTTTTGCTGCTAGAAGCAAAGAGCAAAATGGTGTCCTCTGCCCCCATTCCAGGTGCAGAAGCTGACCAGACTGGGTTCTCCCTACAGTTCTCACTAGTGCTGCCCCAACACTAGTGATGGGGACAGCAACCCCCATGACCCTGAAAGTAAAACCTAGCTTAGAAGTGGAGGATATACCTCCCCAGTAACCTACCATCTGCTCCAGTGGAAGCCAATTATTCCAATTTGTGGTTGGTTGGTTTGGGTGGAGGAAGAAACCTATTTTGGGTTTTGGTCCAAACTTTGGAGGAACTTTCGAAGGTGTTGAACCCTAAACTTCGAACTAAAAATGTAAACAAAAACATAGAGCAGAGGCATCCGCTTGTGTCACAGCACAACTGCGTTTCAATCCCACTTTTATCACTCACTCACACACACACACACAATCAGTCACTTGCCTCTAGTGACCTGCAAGCCCACCTCGCTCAGCTTCAAGACGAGTTCTAGTCTGTCCCTCTTCCACATCCATCAGAGAACAGCTTCCACCAGGCTTACTTGTCCTTGTACTACATAGGGTGAAATGCAGTTGTGCTGTGACACAAGTGGAAGGCAAAAAGTGTAACACTCATTCTTCCTCCGCCATTCCGAAGTTACCCTGGGACTTTCAGGTGGGACTGGCAGCAAAGACTCTTTAATTGCAGGCTAGGAACAAATACTGTATTTTTCCATGTATAAAACAACACTTTTTCCTAAAATAATTAGAGGAAAAACTGAAGGTCGTTTTATACAGAGAAGGCAGCAGCAGGAAGCGGAGATGGAGGCAAAGCAGCAGCCGCATTCGGCCGCCTCTCACGGCTGCCCACTGACTGCTCCTTCGCCTCGGGCAAGGGTAAAAATTAAGGGGTCGTCCTATACATTGGGGGCGTTGTATACACGAAAAAATACGGTAAATATTTTGCCTTCTCCTTGGGTAACAACACAATAGAATTTCAGCCATCAGGACATTTTAAAAGTTTATCTCTTGAGGAAGTTAATCCCATGTCTCAAGTCCGAGTTCTAAAATCCTTCACCACCAGGCCCCTCCACCAAGCACTTGTCACGTACAGTGGTGCCTCGCTTAATGAGGAAATCACTGTACGATTAGGTTTTTGAGATCACAAAACAATGTTTTAAATGGTTTTTTTTCGCTGTGCGATGATCGTCGGGTTTCAAAATGGCCGCCGGCTGAAGAAAATGGCCCCCCGCTGTTTTCTAGGACAGATTCCTTGCTTGACAGGCACCAAAAATGGCCGCTGTATGGAGGATCTTCGCTGGATGAGCAGGTATTCAGCCCATTGGAACGCACTGAATGGTTTTCAATGCATTTCAATGGTTTTTTTAATTTTGTTTGACGATGTTTTCGCTCTACAGCGATTTCGCTGGAACGAATTAACGCCGTCAAGCGAGGCACCACTGTAGTTGTTCTTTTGTTTGTGACAATAAAAACAAACATATTTTAGTCAAATAGTTGACAGACGCCGGGTCACAGGTTGTCCAGGCCTTCACAAGCCAAGCTGTCCACACCACCCATCATTATCTCATTTAAAAGAAGATTTGAACATACAGTATAAAAAAACCCTACTTCTTTTATATACAGTGAGCAATTCATACGGACTCCCCTGTGTGGGTTCTCCCATGTGGGGTCAAACTGGGACTGGAGTTGAAGCCCTTGTTAGGGTCGGCGTATTTCAACAGGCTTTGCCGTGCGTGGATTCTCTCGTGCTTAAGAAGCCCAGAACTTTGCTTGAATCTTTTCCCGCACTGCGAGCATTTATACGGTTTCTGCCCCGTGTGGTTTCTCTTATGTCTCATAAGGCTGGATTTGTTACTGAAGGTGTTCCCACAGTCTGGGCATCGGTAGGGCTTCTCTCCGGTGTGGATCCTCTCGTGTTTCACCAGGTTCGAACTTTGAGAAAAGCGTTTCCCGCAGATGGAGCAGCTGTACGGCGTCTCCCCCGTGTGGGTCCTCCCGTGGACCAGAAGGCTCGAACTCTGCTTGAAGCTCTTCCCACAGTCAGAGCATATGTAAGGTCTCAAGCCCGTGTGGTTTCTCATATGCCTGATGAGGCTCGAACTCTGGCTGAACCTTTTCCCACAGTTTAAGCAACAGAAGGGCTTCTCGCCGGTGTGTTTCCTCTTGTGTCTCGTCAGGCTGGATTTGTTGCTGAAGCTGTTCCCACAGTCTGAACATTTATAGGGTTTCTCTCCAGGATTTGTTGCTGAAGCTGTTCCCACAGTCCGAACATTTATAGGGTTTCTCTCCCGTGTGGGTCCTGTCGTGGGTGAGAAGGGCTGACCTCTTTTTGAAAGCTTTCCCACAGTCTGAGCACTGGTACTGCTTCTCTGTGGGATTAGGTCTCTCTCGGTTCATTATATCTGATTTGTCCCCAAATTTTTTCCCGTAGATTGGATAGTAATCAGGATCCTCTCTGGGGCAGATTCTTTCATGTTTATCATCTGCTGAAACGGAGAATTGAAATCTCATTTTTTAAAAAATACAAGTATACAGTCAAAACTATACAATTTTGGACAGTTTAAGCTAGACAGTCAAGAAAGCAGACAGGAAAAAAAACTGATTTGTTTGAAAGGTGGTACTGAAAGAGATCTTTGTGGATACCCTGGACTGTCAGAAAGATGAACGAGTGGGTCCTAAATCAAATCAAGCCTAAACTATCTCTGGAGGCAAAAACATTGAAGCTGAGGCTGCCTACTTTGGATACATCATCATCATCATACGCATCCTTCAGTCTCGAGAGACTATGGTAACATGCTCTGTATGGAGGACTTCGACACTGTATGCGAAGCTGGAGTGTCCTCTCCAGAGCACGAAGCCTGGGTAAAATAATATGGAGCATAGGCTGTTACCCAAGCAGCAAATCCCCCCTCTCCACAAAGACAGTAAAGGTGGGAAAGGTGGAAGGCAGCAGGAAAAGAGGATGACCAAATATGGGATGGACTGACTCCCTAAACGACCCACAGATTTGAGTTTTCAAGAGTTGAGGAGAGCAGTTAGTTAGTTGGTTTTATGGAAAGGTGGAAGGCAGCAGGAAAAGAGAATAAGCTGCCCCAACTAGACTTTGTCTAGAGGGGCAGGGTATAGGTCTAAATAAAGTAAAGAAAAGGCAGTTGAGGACAGGATATTTGGAAGAGAGCTCATTAATCTGGTACCTACAAGTCAGGGACAACTTGACAGCACATAACAACTACAGTCAAAACAACAAATAAATGCCCCGTACGAAATGAAGATTGTGAGACACCCATTAAGATTTGCTCCTCTGACCACTTTTAGCGGCCAAAATGATTTGGGGTACCTTTTTGGATGGCCTAACATGAGCGCAGGCCACTATCCTACTAATTACACCCATTACCATAAGACAAAGATGGCAACTTCTGAAGACAAATTGCCTTAAGTTACAAAGTCTGCATGCTGCACGCCAAATTGTCAGACTCGGTACACAACAGCAAACAATATCTACACTGACTTTGTAACTTAAGTCTGTTGACTTTACACTTGTTGACTTTCCACTCGCAATAGGATTTTGGCCATTATCACAATACAGATTTGGGAATTTATTAGATGGTCCACTCAATTACTCTGCTCGCTGGGAAGAAAGTCATGTTCCCATTATACTAAAGATCTGATAGCACTGCCAATGCTAGAGCTTGCCTTGTATTGCACATTAATGGGCTTCTTTTTTTAAAAAGCTATGTAAGGGACGTGGTGGCGCTGCGGATTAAACCACAGAAGCCTCTGTGCTCCAGGGTCAGAAGACAAAGATCTGATAGCACTGCCAATGCTAGAGGTTGCCTTGTATTGCACATTAAGAGGCTTCTTTTTTAAAAAAAGCTATGTAAGGGACGTGGTAGCGCTGCGGGTTAAACCACAGAAACCTCTGTGCTGCAGGGTCAGAAGACCAGCAGGCATAAGATCGAAACCACACGATGGAGTGAGCTCCTGTCACTTGTCCCAGCTCCTGTCAACCTAGCAGACTTAAAGCATGCAAAAGCGAGTAGATAAATAGGTACCACCACGGTGGGAAGGTAATGGCATTCCGTGTCTAGTCGCGCTGGCCACATGACCACGGAAACTGTCTTCAGACAAACACTGGCTTGGAAACAGGGATGAGCACTGTGCCCTAGAGTCGGACATGACTGGACTAAATGTCAAGGGGAACCTTTACTTTTGCCTTTATGTAAGTACAAAAATGTGAAGAAATAAACAAACAAGCAGCAGATAACACAGAAAATTAAAATCTATGATAAAAGAACATAAGAGCACTAACTAAAAAAATTCAATTAACTGGAACCTGGTGGATCTCCCAAGGTAAGCGACTTCTTAAGTGTTGAAGCCGGGGAAAATGTGATAGATGACTTAAAAAGAAAACAAAGCACTTAACACAAATTAATTAACCCACCCTCCATTTTAATCACAGGAATACAAGAGCATCCATCTCTTCACCATCTCTGCTTCACCGTTCTGGTTCTCTAATGGCCAGCCTTGGCCACTAACCTTCTCCCACCGCTTGTTCTGCATAAAGCGGTTCTAGGAAATATACTGTGTTGATACTGGAGGTTACACAGCCCTTGTGACTAGCAATCATCATCCTTGCCTTAAAACTGCAGAGCAGGAAGGGACCCTATGGATCATCAAGACCAAGCCCTGTCAGGGAGGCGTGGTGGAGAATTCGAACTCCCAGCCTCTGGCTCCGCAGCCAGATCTTTTAAACCGTTGAGCTAGCCAGCAGTTCTATGAACGGAGTCTCTATTCTGATCTCTTTCCAAAATTGCCCAAAGACCGTCAGTACGTTTTGTAGTAGCCTGTTCCAAAGCAGAGCTGCGAGCTGTAGTATAAATACTTCCTTTCGTCTCTTCTTTTCTCTCTATCCAGCATCAGTGCACTGTCTAGTCTTCTAAGTATGAAAAGAAGAGTGTGGAAACTTTCCTTTTCCCCCATTTCCTTCATTTCAGACCTTATTTTATAGATTCTTCATCTTGACCCCAAAAGGTCCTTACTTTTGGCACACACTGCAAAGCTCCCAACAATTCTTTTCCTGGTCAAAGAGATACAACGGTCAGCTAATCCATTTCGGTTGCTCCCTTCTCAAACTTTCCCGGCTCTAAAATGAGCTTTGCTGGCTTCCCCCCACCCACCCCCGTGCCTCTTGGGAGCAGGGCCAGCCTGTGTGGCCTTGGGCAAGCTGCACAGACTCAGGGCACCCCAGCGTAAGTATTCCGTACATTTGGAAAACCCTGAAAATGGTCACTGTGAGTTAGAATTGATTTGACAGGACGTGATGATGATGATTAATGACCAGAACTGTACACCAAAGTCAGCTGGCCAGCAGCTAGAACAGGTGCCGTCACACCCGTGACTTGTAGGAAAGCATTATGATAGTGGCGTTTTTCTCTCTTTCTTGTGCTTTTCCCAATGTTTGCCAATAAGAAGTTTGCCTTTTTCACCATTTTGCATGTTAAGGTCTAGCCCAGGGCATCTAGTTTAACAAGAAGAACAGGAGTCATATTAGGTACGACACAGGGGTAGAGAAGACAGATGAACAGTATCTTTACCGAGTGAGATGACGCTGCCGTGATCTTCCTCCATGTTGTCTCCCTACGTAGATCTTGAGTTCGAATCTTGCACAGCCACTTGTTCCTCTGAGAAACACAGAGCCACGTCGTTTACGTAGACAAAAGAGATAAGATTTTTAGAAGGTATTCCTAGATTTACATTAATAACAGTATTACTTTATTGTAATATACAATGTAATTAATATATTGTAGTAGCTAGAATCAAATTAGCTACGCTCCCCAAGAATAAATACTGGTGCAAACTGCCGCAAATTAAGAAGCTGGCATACAAATTTGCTATTGCACACCAGCTGTGTGATTTGATGTGCAATAACAATTGTCTATTTACACTGATTTCTCAACTTAATGGTAATTCACCACTGAATTTTGCATCTCTGGAGTTATACAGGCAATAGCATTCTGGCCAATGTAATAGCATATAATATAGATGAATAATATAATATAATAAGAGGGAGTGTAAACAGATAATGAGAACTACACAGCACTTCAGTCGAGGTTCTTCTGGATTCATTTTAGGAATGCAGTGAGTCACTAAAACATACTCACAAGAGTGTCTAACAAACAGAAATTTTTAAGCAAAAGATTTCAGCTTCCGCTTTCTTCAGTTGCTCCGGGAAAAGTGTGCAAAACAGTTGTCCAGTTTGGGGGCCATGCCCTTCCTCCTTCCTTCCTTCATCTTCTTCACGAGTCACACACCCTGTTCTTTCTGCCCATAAAATTCACAAATCTTCATCCTCCCACACGCCCTTTGCCATTATCAGGATATAACAACAGCCCTCAGCGCAGAAATCCAACAGGTTGAGAGAAAGTGGGGTACAGGATTAGTCCTCCCCCCCTCCCCACATAAACCAAAACTCAGGGGGCAGCCCACACAAACGATCAAGGGAAGCCAAAGCAGAGCAGCACATGGGAAAGCGTGCAAGCGCTCAAGGAAGGACACAACCGGCGCTTTCCTCACATTATCCTCGCTACAACCCGGCGAGGTAGGTCAGGCTGAGAGGGGAGAGAATAGCTGACCCTGGGTTAACCCACACTCTCTCTCTCCATGTTGGGGTACACTGGGCATCCCATAAACTGAACCCTTTTTGTTACTCTCCCACATTTGTCTTAAACACGTGTCTTGCGGCGGGGATTTGAACTTTACGAACCACCTCGCGGCACAGAAAGCCTTACTTACCTGTCTAGGCAATCCCGTGTTGTCTTTTTTTTGTGGCTGTTTGTATTTCTCCCCCTCAGATCTCGTTTTCAGTATCACACACAGACCTCAGCTAATTAGCTAATTAGCATATCGAGCCTCCCCTGGTTTTGTGCCCGTATTCACTACAGCGGGGTGCAATGCAGCACAAGCGTGCATTCATTGGAACACACGTGTACGAGTTCACGCTGCAGAGTTTGCACAGAACAAGTACAGTAGTTGCGAGGCGCTCGAGCCGGGGAGGAGGGGTGTTGCACTAATCCGAATTAAAGGAGCTGCCTGTACACCCAGCCATGCAATTCATTGTGAGAGGATTTTACTGGAGGCGCTTCCCCTCTCCACGTCTTTTGGAGGACAATGGCAGTTTTTGTCAATCTTGTTTCCCTTTTTGTTGTGATCGCGCGTGTGATGCGTGTCTGTGTTTTTAAAGGCGGCTTTCCCTTTGTTTTCCGCTTCCTATCACGTGTCTGAAGTCGAGCCAAAAGCCTGGCATGTGAAGACCCTACCAGTCTCCTCCTGGATCGCA